TGTGTGTGTGTGTGTGTGTGTGTGTGTGTTTTAATTTGTTCAGAGTAGTCATGTTGTTTTAATCAATCTTTGACATTTGGCGTTCTTTTTTTGTTCCAAGTGCTGTATACTACTCAGAAGAACCAAAATGGTTTCTTGATGAATTTAGTTTAATTTGTAAAGGGATGAAAATGTAAATTTTAAAGGGAGAAAAAAATAACATATAAACTAAACTACCTTAAATGTGTAATGTATTTAAATTTCAAAATTTTAAAGTAAAATGTTTAAATATATCCTTAGGATATTTTAGAGGAGATAAAAGTGGTATGCCAGTGTTTGGAACCCACCAGATCAACTGTCTGTGTCTCCGACCCCCCTCTGACACCAACCCAAGAAAAAAGCCAAACTAAACTTCCTGATGAGAAAATTGGCAAGAAAAGAAAACGGAAAGATGATGGGGAAAATGCTAAACCAATTAAAAAATTGATCGGTGACACAACTAGAGATCCACATCAACTATATTCTTGGCTCTCTCCAACCACAGGCATTCTAATCAGGTACAGGCTGAATTTGCGCTGAACATTTCCAGTGAAGGCTTGCTATGTTTCTGCCAGTGGCACAGACAGCGTATATAATGGAAATGTCCATTTTAAGACCTTTTGTCTCTTTCAGTGATTTGACGATGGAGATGAACCGATTCCGGCTGATTGGTCCACTTTCCCACTCCATCCTAACTGAGGCAGTCAAAGCTGCTTCTGTCCACATCGTAAGATTAAATGTGACTGTAATGTTTTATTCTAGTCATGTCCTTCTTAGCAAACTTGTGAAACCTAACATAATTTGGGGCCATGGCCTATAACTGTTTATTTCTCTTCTTATGCTTAATTATTAAGGACTTTTTCATTTCTCACTTCTCTTAGAAGAGTAAATCTAAATGAATGTTATAAGTAAACTGACTTGTTCTTATTTAGTACAGTTTATTCTTGCAGCTTGTGGGTTTGTGAAAGGGTGGTAGCTTCTGTTTCATAAGTAAGTTAACAGAGAGTCCCTAATATCTCTGAAAGAGTATGCCAGTTTTTTGTTTGTTTGTTTGTTTGTACTTCTGTGATGCCTATTTTCTGGGACTAGTTTTAAGGGTCTGTGATCCCTAAAAGGTTAAGAGCAATAAGTCTAGTGCAGCACGGTCCAATAGAACTTTCTGCGAGGATGATGTTCCTTTGTGCCATCCAGTATGGTAGCCATTAGCCACATGTAGCTATTGAGCCCTTGAAACGTGGCTAGTGGGACTGAGGAACTGAATTTGTACTTTTATTTAACTAAAAATTAAGTTTGCATAGCTCACTGTGTGTAGGGCTACCATGTTAACAGCGCAGGTCTGGAGAGTAGAGACTAGATTAGGATCCAGACACTCTGGGTTCACATTCAGTTTGTTTGGCTACTTTAGTGCAATGGACCTTTCAGTACTTGTGTCTCTCACAGATTTGACATGGTCAAATGTGATGATAGACCTGAACAGCTTTTGAGCTTTTAGAAGAAAAACACTTGAAAAAAACAAAGGCTGCTTCTCTCTTTCTCTTCATTGCTTCCATGCTAGTCTCAACTACTGTTGTCTCCTGCCTGAATACTGAAGCAGTGTCTTACTAACTTTCCTCCTTTGTTTATCCCCTATTCACTCCATTCTCTGTGCAGGAGGCAGAGTGCTCTTTTAACAATTTATTCACATTGTGTTACTTTGTAATTAAAAGCTTTTGTATAGCCTTTCATTCTATTTGAGATACAGGTAAAATTCAAATCCCTTAATGTAATCTTGTGCCTTTCTGCCTTATCTCTCCTCACCTTCTGCACTTCAGCTACACTGGCCTCCCGTTGTTGTAGAATGTGTCAGAGCTTGTCTCCCTTAGAGCCTTCGCACCTGCGTTTTCTCCACCTGCTTGAACATTCTTCCTCCACCACTCTTTGCTTGGTCAAAATCTTCCTCATTCTTCAGGTTTCAACATCTGTATATCATTTCCCTATAGAATCCTTTCCTGATCCCTGAAGTTAAATTATATCCCTCCTACTGTTTGCATTGCATCTTGCATATTTCCTCAATTTATATTACGTCTGTTTGTGTATTTATGCAGTGTTTGTGTCTCATGTTAAACTGAGCTTTGTGATGGCAAGGGCAGAGCGTTTCCTGCCCAGTCTTCTGTCCCCAGTGCTTAGCACAGTGCCTGGCAAGACGAGGTGTTCTGCTCTGGCTAAATAAGTTGCAGAGCAGGGCTGTTTGGTTCCAGAGCCTGTACTTTAGACCACTAAGCTGTGCTACCTGAGTATTTGTGAGATAAATGGCACGTGTGTTATGGGTTGCTTTAGAATCTAGGAGCACATCCTACTCAGTGAACCTCTGTAGGAATCATAGCTGTAGGCACTCTGCCTTGGCATGCACGTGGGACTTTTTGAAACCTTGCTCAATTCCTGGTTCTGTCTGGAAAAAAAATAGAAGTAACATACTTGAGTATCTTATTTGAATCCTAACCACTAGACCACTAGGGAAGCTCTTATGTATCTTATTTGAAATTTTTAGGAATACTATAATTGTAATATGTCCTTTTGCTGAAGATTTCTTCAAAAGGTATTGGTTTGGTTTTTCTTGGGTGAGAAAGGTTTTGTTGCTTAAATTGGTGGTGACGAAGTTGGCAGTAGTGGGAGAGGAGCAACTACAGGTGTGAAGTGACTTAGGTAGGTGATCTCTGAAAACCATTTTTCTTCGTATGTGAAATCGTCACAAGTGTAATTCTATGTCGTTGCCTCTAATAAGTAGAGTAGTTAGTCTGGAATTAATTACTGTGGCAATTATAGGGGCAAATTCCCCGGTTCTCCCCATAAAACATGCATTCTCACATACAGAAGAAAAGTGGGTGGGGGGGGCAGTGTCACAACCATAACAAAAGTATTAAGTCTGGTTCATTATTTGTCTGTTGAATAGGAGTTGTTATTTTTCAGGAGGGAGAAGACACAGAGAACACACCTCACCGTTGGTGGACTGAGACCTGTAAAAATCCTGATAGCGTTTCCCTTCATCACAGACAAGAAGCTATTTTTGCATTGTTGGGAGGTATACGGAGGGGATGCTGCGTTGTATTGGGGATGGGGGGATCAGTGGGAAGTGGGTTAAAATAGCGTTTTGTGTAGTGGTGCTTTTTAACTTGTAACTCATTGTTTTAATACAGCAAGAAAGAAAGAGAGGTGCCTGATTCAGTGAATAGTCTAAACACTATTTGAGTTTGTTTATGAAATAACAAACAAATGAGATATTAGTATTCTAAATATTAATAACTGGCATTCTGATATTATAGATAAATGCATATATCAGGTACTAAACTGAAATCTATGCTTACCTGCACATGATTACTTTTATGCATAAAGCTACTATAGTTATCTTGATAGAAACATAAGTGTGTTGTAAAATAATCTGTTATGTTAATTTAATATTTTTTGTAAGAAACATCACTCTTTATAAATGTTAATTTATTCTCTAAAAGTGTCAATGGGAAAAAAGGAGAGTGCATGTTTTTAAATAAATAGCCCAAGAAGAAAGTTTCATTAGAAAAGTTTGAAAATACATGCAAATATGTATACATTGTGAATGACTTTCTTTGAGCTTGGGTATTTTTGTTTGTTGTTAAAGGAATAACATCACCAGCAGAAATTCCGGCAGGTACTATTCTAGGACTGACAGTTGGGGATCCTCGAATAAATTTGCCTCAGAAGAGGTCCAAAGTTTTGCCCAATCCAGAGAAATGCCAAGGTAAAGTTCCTGAAACACCCCTTGTCTTCCTTACTATTTTAAGCAGCAGTCTAGTCCCATTAGAAGAGTTCTGTTTGTGACACCTATGCAGTGACTTCATCTGTAGTAATCAGGGCGATCTTTACCTGGCTGCTTTTAAGGTGGTTATGATCAAAGGAGACGGTGTGTGTGGGCGTGTTTGTTAGTTATGAAACACGTAGCCTGATTTTTGTGTTGGTTTTTCTCCCCTAAGTTTTTTCTTTCTAGTGTCTAGTAAAACCTGTCTCACTGCAAACTGGGTTCTCTGAAAATGCTGGCATTTCAGATTTTAATTGTGAGGTAGGGATGTGCACCTGCAGCTGGTCTTGTGCTCATTGGAAGCCTCTGTCTGACCATACAGATGATCCAGGTTCGAATCCTGGCAAGGCCATCCCAGGTGCTGAAGGGTTAGATATCTTGGTTTGGACTCAGTAGAGTGGCCTGAGGGAGTTTTTTGGCTGGGGAGGTATAGGAGGGTGGGTAGGGCTGGCTAAAACTTTAATGTGATCTGGGATTTGCAGCAGTTGTAATTATGTTTTATTGTATATACTGTCATTTAAATATGGTTATTTGGAAGAATCATTAAAATTAGCTTGTGAATTTTTGGAGAAAAAACAGGTGTGTATAGTAACAACTTTAGAATTTGTTTTTACCTCCATGTGTAGTTAGATAGCTTATTAAAGAGGCAGTAAATTACTCTGTCAGACTTCAGATGAAAGGTAGATTGGATGAGAGGATTTGAAGATATATAAATAAGTTAGTTAATTATGGAAGCTAAGACTTTCATTAATGACTTGCTACCTTTTTCTTTTCTTTTAATAGCAGTATGGACTGGTGCAGCCATAAAATTTGCAGCATTGACTATACTATGAAGTGTTGACTATCATAATTGCCTTAAAGCCATAGTTAAACTCTACTTAGTTTCTCTTGCTGCCTCAAATTTTTTTTTGGAATGAGGCAGTTTTCTATTAAATCCTTTCTAAGGTATTTATCTTAATATGAATAAATTCAAGGAAAATTAAAGTCTTTCTCAAAGAACATGATTTAAGTTTTATTATAAAAGCTTACCATTTTGTCAGTCATTGTGGAATTTCATTAAAACCTGTTTTAAGTAATTTCTTTTTTTTTAAAGATTTTTTTTATTGGGCAATTGGGGGGATGGGAACAGTGCTGGGGAATTGGGGGAAGGGAACAGACAAGTTGCTGTCGTTTTGTTCTTCAGTCTNTAGACTTTCTTTTATTTTCAAACAATTTATTGGTCCCTTACTTATGATATATACTATGTTTTTTTACTGTCCTTAGAGAAGAATAATCTCTAGAAAAAGTTAATGCAAAGACTTTTTCTTGAAATGATAAATCTCATGGTTTAAATACATGTTTTTCTTTCATTGTTTTTTTCCCTAGAGTGTTCTGTCTGTTTTTATTTACTATTCTCCTGTCTTTAATTTCACAATGGTTGCGCTCCTACCAGGACCAGGTATTGTATGGGGTACATTAGGATATGGTCAAAGCAGTACAGGGTACAAAGGAAGCCCAAAGAAGGGGTACTAAGTGCAGACTGCGGTAATCAGGGAGAGGTCCTGGATGGAGGAGCTGGCTTTTGAGCTGACTCATAGGTGGGTGGTTAGAATTAACCAGACTCCTGGGGTCAGGGCTGCAGTGGAGAAAGGATTGCTGGGAAGTGAGAACAGCATGTGCAAGTGCCCAGGCCCAAAACAGGATGATGGATTCAGGAATCTCCCAAGCGGAGCAGTAGCTTGGAGTCAAGGGTGGGGCAGGAGATGAAACTGAGGAGAAACAGGGACCAAAAAGACCTTGGGGGCATTTTAAGGATTTGTACTGAAGCTGTAGGGCACCACTGAAGGTTTTAAGCTGGGCCGTGACACGATCAGATTTCACGCCAGCAACACTGGAGGATGGATGAGACCAGGGGTGCAGAGGTGGGAGGAGGAGCTGGAGAGAGGACTCATGGTTGGATGGCCTTAAAAGAGACCCTGGGAGTATCTATGATCTAGGACATAACGGGGGACTGAATGGTGGTTGTGTGGCTGGAGTGCAGGGGCTAGGACTAATACACACATTCCTGGAGGATAAAATTGACAAGACTCAGTGGTTGATTGGAAGATGGGTGGTGAGAAAGGAGGAGACTTGTAAATTAGTTCCTAAATGTCTAGCTTGGGTTTAGGAACTCAGCTTAAAGAGAGCTATGGCTAGNGACTCACGGCAGCCCAGCTCCAGGTTGAGCTGTTGTTCAGCATCTTAGCTGTAGAGGGCAGTGTCACTGGCCCTCATGTGGGATCCGAACCGGGGCCCTCTGGCGTCCCAAGCCAGTTCTTAACCATTGCGCCACTCGGCTGGCCCTTAAGTAATTTCTTTAAATAAATATTGGCATGTGAGCTACATAAAGAGGTAAACTTCTTTCTTTTTAATTATTTTTTTTCCAGTTATAGTTGACATTCAGTATTATTTTATATCTATTTCAGGTGTACAGCATGGTAGTTAGACATTTATATAATTTATGCAGTGATTCCCCGATTAGTCTAGTACCCACTGGCCACTATACATAGTTGTAGCAATATTATTGACTATATTTCCTATGCTGTACTTTACATCACCATGACTAATTTGTAACTACCAGTTTGTTTTTCTTAATCCCTTCACCTTTTTCACCCAGTTCCACAACCCCTCTTCTCTCTGGCAGTCATCAGTTAGAGTTATCTATGAGTCTGTTTTTGTTTTGTTTGTTTATGTTGTTCTTTAGTTTCCACACATAAGTGAGACCATGTGGTATTTGTCTTTCTCAGTCTGACTTATTTGACTTAGCATAATACCCTGTAGTCCATTCATGTTGTCGCAAATGGTTAAGATTTCATTCTTTTTTATGGCCGAGTAATATTGTGTTGTCATGGCTGCCTTGATGTCCTGAATCATTTTGACTTTGAGGAAGAGCCTGAAGTCGCAAGGTGCCAGATCCAGTGAATAAGGTGGATGGAGACACACTGTAATGTTTTTATTTGACAGAAATTGCTGTATCAGAAGCAATGTGTGACATGAAGCGTTGTCATAATGGAGGATGTTTTACGACACACTTTATTTTTTTTATTTTTTATTTTTTTAAAGATTTTATTGGGGAAGGGGAACAGTGTTGGGGAATTGGGAAAGGGGAACAGCCAAGTTGTTGTCCTTCAGTCTTAGTTGTGGAGGGCGCATCTAGCTTAGCTCCAAGTCCAGTCACCATCTGGCTGCCTGTTGGCAGCTCGCGGCCACTCAGCTCAAGGTACCATGTTCAGTCTTAGTTGCGGGTGGGTGTAGCCCACCATCCCATACAGGAGGCCAACTGGAAACTTTGTTGCTAAGAGTACACGCTCTAACCACTGATCCATCTGGCTGCCCATTGGCAGCTCAGGGCAGCTCATCTCAGGGTGCCATGTTCAATCTTATTGGGTCGTCAGGAAAGTCATGACATATTTTTCTATGTTTTTTAATGCAAAAATGCATCATGACTTTACTGACGACCCAATAGTTGCAGGTGGGCATAGCCCACCATCCCATGTGGGAGTTGAACCAGCAACCTTGTTAGGAGCATGTGCTCTCACCAGCTGAACCCTCCTGCCACCTGTTGGCAGCTCAGCTTGGGCACAGCTCACTGGCCCATGTGAGAATTGAACTGGTGACCCTGTTGCTCGGAGCTCGTGCTCTTTACCTGCTGAGCCACTCGGCCGGCCCATTACGGCATACTTTAAAACACACCTTCTCTCAACCATAGCTCACACCTGATTGACTGCACCGAAGAAGTTGAAACTTGACACACACTGTTACTAAGGTTCAACGCACTGTTTCCCACGTTGAAGATTCCTGCCTTTCTGTTGGATGGCACTTGGCAGCAGCATTCACTATATTTGTTGATCACAACAGAAAGGCTCCGTGTCATACATCACTTCTGGTATGGCAATTTCTGTCAAATAAAAACATTATGGTGTGTCCTCATCCACCGTATTCACCGGATTTGGTAGCAGGTGACTTCTGGCTCTTCCCCAAAGTCAAAATGACCATGAAAGGTATACATTTGAATTGATTCAGGACATCGAGGCAGCTATAACAGCTCAACTGAAGACACCCAGAAAAGAGGACTTCCAGAACTGCTTCAGAAAGTGGCAAGAACTATTGGATAAGTGTGTTCGAAGTGAGGGGGAGTATTTTTTTTTTTTTTAAAGATTTTATTGGGGAATCAGGGAAGGGGAACAGACAAGTTGCTGTTCTTTTGTTCTTCAGTCTAGTTGTGGAGGATGTCACTTCACTGGCCTAAGTTGGCACCATCATTGCGCTCTTCCCGGATGAGGCAGATCAGTCGCCGGCTTCTGGACGGCTGCTCACGCCGGCTGCCGGCCGCTCACGGTAGCTTATGGGAGCCCACTGCAGCTCCACTGCAGCCTATGCTGTTGCCAGCGACTCACGGCAGCCCAGCTCCAGATCAAGCTGTTGTTCACCGTCTTAGCTGTAGAGGGTGCAGCAACACTGGTCCTCATCTGGGATCCGAACCGGTGACCCTGCTGCTCAGAGCTGGCGTCCCAAGCCAACTCTTAACCAACGCGCCACTTGGCCGGCCTGAGGGGGAGTATTTTGAGGGGTATTAATGGCAATGTGTCTTTTGCTGTAACAAATTTTTAAAAATTTAAATATTAACTTTTTTTTTTTTTTTAATGATTTTTTGGGGAATTGGGGAAGGGAACATTGTGTTTCTCTAGGACCCATTAGCTCCAAGTCAAGTTGTTGTCCTTCAATCTTAGTTGTGGAGGGCGCAAGCTCAGCTCCAAGTCCAGCCGCCACTTTCAATATATTTGCAGGGGGTGGAGGTGCAGCCCACCATCCCATGCGGGAGTTGCACTGGCAACCTTGTTGTTAAGAGCACGCGCTCTCACCAGCTGAGCCATCAGGCTGCCCATTGGCAGCTCAGCTCTCTGGCCCATGTGGGAATTGAAATG